GCCCCCCCCCCCCCCCCCCACCCAATCTAAGTGTTGCTTTCCCCCGGTCAAACCATCAAAGCTATTCCAAGTTGCTGACAAGCACTCTGTTACTGCCCTTGCATTTGATACAATTTGCTATCCTGCTTCCTTCATAACCCATCTTGTAGTATTTCTACCAGGACCGTGTCTCCTTCCTTTCCAGACCACATGATCTCCACAGCATTTGCCTTTACTTCCTTCCAGAAGCTTTTCTTATATACTGGTGTAACTTCTGTTCTGCCTTGGCTTCTGTGTAACCAACACAAACCCAGAATGTTTAGAGGAAAGGGGATAAAATACATGTGTATATTTAAATGCAGCACTGTGACTTCGTATGTGTTATACTTTGTTATTTGCGTCATAGGCTTTTTGCTGTTAAACCCGTAGTCATTTCTGCCTGGGATTTAGAATGGAGCTGCAAATTTCTCATGCTGTCCATACTAGGGAAGTTTACTCTGCCAGAATTTTACAGAGGAAATAAAATAATCGAAATCTGTATCATGTGAGCACTTTTTGAAGTGTCTTTAGGTGTTGTCTTCTTGTCCTTTCTGCTTCCCATCCATTGCCTAATATGGGACTGTACTGTCACAGTGCCAGGGGTGGAATGCAGTTAGGCTTCTGTGCCCAGCCGAGTCCTTCGATGGCCCTGGCCTGTTTCCGATCTTGTTAGCAAAGATAACTCCAGCATGGGCAGGAGCTGCGTACCAGGTGTGAGATGTTCATGCCATGTCAGGGGCTCTTCTCTTCCTCCAAGACCTGTGAAGGCTCTGTTCACAGTGCTTGAAACACAAGGAAGACGCATGATCCTAATCAACTGGACAATCCATGTATTTATCCCCTTACTCTTAATGATACTTTTAAATTCCTATTTTGCATAATTAGCCTAAAAGGCAAAAAGGGTATGCAGTGGGATGTTACAACAGATTTATTCACTTACATCTTCATGTAAGTGAACTTGCGGAGTTGCCAAGCTGTTTCTTTCAACTAAAATCCAGTTATTCAGATTCATTTTTGCCCCTGAGGGCAACTCTAAACTGTGATTTCTATCTTACTGTTGAGGATTTCTGCAGCATGAGAAAACTGCTGAGGTACAAACAGTCCAGTCTGCTTCTGCTCTTGGCAAAGCAAGCATTGTCTTAGGACCCAAAATAAGTCCCAGTTGCCTAGAACTGTTTTGCTCCAGCTCACTGCAGGACTAGACAAATGAGGTGGCTTGTGTTGGTGCACTACATTGTATAACTCCTTGTATGTGGATTGTATAAAGGAAGTGGTGATGAAGAACACAGTCTATGCCTAAGGGCCCAAGTGCTACTTTTGATGCCTGCCATAGCTCTACAAAGAGCTTTTAACTCCTGCTGTTTTCATCCACTTGCTCACCTTTTTATGCCCTTGTGCAGGCAGTCCTGCTCTCTCCAGTAAACAACAGGGACCAAGCACCACATCCTGAAATGATCTGAAAGAAAAATTCTAAACCTTAAGTGTCTGTAGAACTAGTTTTCAGTTGCCCTTCCTCTCTTAAAGTTTGAACTACTCTACTTATTTCTGCAGCTTCCTCTTGTTTTCATATGGCTTGGGGCATGAACAGTGTCGTTAGTGTCTTCACCTCACCGCCCTCAGCTCCCTGAAGAATCTTTCGAGACAATGAAAACACATTGTAAATTGAAACTTGTCATTTGCACTTAACGTTTTTCTGTAGTTGCTTCAGGACTGTTCTGCTGGCCAGTATACATAGAACTTCACTTTCCAAGTGGCACGTGTAGATCCTTGCAGTTCAATGCAGTCTAGTCCTAGGCACAGAAAAAACACTTCATCTTTAATCTTTGTCTTCCATGCCAAAAGAAAAAAAAAAGTGTCCCAAAGTGGCTAAATGTCACACTGAAGTGGTATTTTGTCTAGGACTACAGTGAGGCTTGTTGATGAGCACTGTCAGATCATTAGCCAACAGCAGCAGAGTTGGAGCTGAACAGACAGGCAAAAAATGGTACCCTGGCTTAACGGGCTCATGTGTTGGGTGAGGTGTCTTTCTACACTCAAGTTCTGGTGCTCGAACCACTTGCATCCTTGCTTCCAAAGGCAGTCAGCAAACGCCACCTATGCTGTGTTCTGGGAAGACCAATACGATGGATTTCTTATCAGTCCCATAATGATACAGGACTGCGCCTGGAGCGTAGACTGTTTGAAGGAAGAGTTCAGGAACTGGAACTCAAGGCACCTCTAATGTGACATAGGCAAAAGAAAAAAAAGTGTTTTGGTGAATTCCTTATCTGTAAAACATTTCTCACTTTGTGTGCCTAATGAGATGGATAGCTGCTCCTGGTAACAGTTAGAGGTGCTTTAATTAACCAGGACTTAAAGACAATAAAAAAAGGAAAAAACCTTCAGTGCTTCTGTAGCCTTCAGACTCTCCATCAGGTGAGGGATGGCTGCAGTTTATCAAGATAATTATGGCTAAATGATTGAATTATGGTTGCTTTTGAAGAGCCAGGCAATATGCTAATGTCTCCTGCTCCTTAAGATCCAACAGGATTATTCACCGGTGGCAGAGTTAAATGTAAATTCAGATGTTTGGGGGAGTCTGTAACCAAAGGAGCAGATTTCTAAGACACGCTGGTACAGATGTGCAGAAGGGTACTGAAAACTTTACTCAGATTGGATTTTAGAACAAGATTTGTAGCACTTGAAAATTCTGCCAGTACTTCAGAGCACTAGGTTGAAAAAGATGGTGTTTTGGAGCCACCTTCTGTCTGTTTAATACTATTACACTACAAGAGTAATTTATGTTTTGTGATGTTAAGCATCAGAAGATCACCAAATTTATCACCGTGAAAACACTTCTGTAATGCTTCCCTGTGCGGTTCTATAGACCGTAAGTAAACCCTCAGTCTGTCATGGACAGGGAGTTACCACTGCCTCAGTAGAGTCCCTCTCCACAGAGATTTGTCAGCAGGCTTGCTGCTTGGTAGTACCTCTAAATTGACAGGAAGAAACAAAATTGGCTAACAGAAATCCAAGGTTTTTGATGTAGAAAGACACCCTGAAGTGAATCTCTTCTGTATCAGCTATGATGTATTATGGTAAAGTTGCAGCTGTAGTTTTGTATTGCCTAGATGCTAACCTCTTAGAGGAGTTGAGCTGAGGAGCCAGGGTATAACGTGGTGACGCTGTCAATTCTCTCCACAGACAGTACTACTGGTATGATGAGCGGGGAAAGAAGATCAAGTGCACAGCTCCTCAGTATGTTGACTTCGTCATGAGTTCAGTGCAGAAACTAGTGACAGATGAGGACGTCTTTCCAACAAAATACGGTATGTCTGCTTTTGGACAGGTGCTTCTTGTGGCTCTGTGCAGATGCCGTAGGTAAGGTGAAAGGAGTTGGCATTCAGCGTGTGTATTAATACCAGACAGCTTTCTCACTTGCTTGTTTGATTTTTTGTTTTTTTTTTTTAAAGGGAGATTTTAAGTTTGGCTCATTCTTGCAGCAAGAGAGACTTGCATTGTTAACATAGGAACTGGGGTGAAAGGCTCACAATCCTGTCCCCGTGGCTTACATTTCCTCATCAGTACATCTTTTTATTCAAGCATTTTGAGATCTTCTAGCCTGTATTCAGAGAGGATAAAAATTTGAAAACTGTGAGCATGTATGTGTTCAGTACAGCCTGCTGCTAGTAAAATTTAAACTTACTGTTGTTTTACTATTCCCTTTAGAGCCCTGATGCATTAAGGGGGAAATAAACTGGATTGCCGGGAATGTGGGTTGTCTTCCTCGCTCAACCAGGCCTTGTCTCACACATTGTTTGCAGTCTCCCTTCCTTTCCAAATATTAAAAAAGAACTGATTTTTAGGAACTGAAAAAGCAACAGGAAAGTAGCTCAAATTTGTATCCTAACAAGATTGCTACATGCAACGCCTTTGGTTCAGGGGAGAAAAGTAGAGACCTGAAGTTATGGTGGGTGGGCTTGATGACAACTAAAAGCAGCTGGGGTCTTGAGCCCCTTCAGCAGATAAGTGGGGAACGAGGACATGATAGTGTAGCAGACGGTAAGCTAGGAGCCTTTGCTTACAAGCACCTTCATCTGGACAGCTGCAGTTGACCTCTGTTTGTTTGTTTGTTTGTTTTGGTTTTTAATGTGCTTGTTCAGGGGCACTGAGGGCCTTTCACACACGTGATTTGTCCGTATGGCTAAAGTGCACTTCAGACCAGTAACATACTCTGTATTGTGCATCATGCACAGGAGGGCAGGTGTTGCTTTTTTGCTTGCCTCAGTTTTGCTTTCAGTGTTACCAAAGTAGTTGTCTAATCATCTTTTACTAGGCAGGCACAGCACTGCTCCAGCAAGCACAATTTCAGCTGCACCTATCAGAAGGCACACAATATCTCCTACCCTTTCTTTTCCCATTTGATAGAATTTCAACAATGAAATGGGGGAAGTTGTTATACACAGTCAAACTGCTGCATGCTGCCAAGGCCTGTGTACCTTAGCTTCCATTGCAGGATCTGTGAATGGGTCTCCCAAGCGTTATGTACTTCCAGGGGAAAAATCTGCTGCTCCTGGACAAACTACAGAAGGACCCGGAAGAACCTCTCATTATTTTTACAGCCAGTAACAAAAAATTTTGTGGTTTTAAAGAATTATTACACTTGCTTCCTGATTTTTTGAACCCTCAGGGTTTAAAACTTCAAAGGAAAATGCTTTAAACCTCATTAGATTCTTCCCCTGAATTCGTGTAAAAAGAACAAGATGAGAGGATGATACAGGGCCCACAAGTTGTCTGCTGTGTACAGTGGGCTAGTTGCTCTTACCCACAGCTCAGCCCACACAGGTGCTGCTGCGGGGCTGAAGGTGAGCAGATGGAGCTATCGTGCTGTTTCTGTCTTCCCTTTCAGGCAAGGAATTCCCCAACTCGTTTGAGTCCCTAGTGAAGAAGATCTGCAAGTACCTGTTCCATGTGCTGGCCCATATCTACTCCTCACACTTTAAGGAGACTTTGGCACTGGAGCTGCACGGACATTTAAACACGCTCTACACACACTTTATCCTATTCATCAGGGAGTTCAACCTCGTGGACCCTAAAGAGACCACCATCATGGATGACCTCACAGAGGTCCTCTGCAGCAGCAGTGGGAGCAGCAGTAACGGGAGCGGCAACGGGAGCAGCAACAGCGCAGGAGCACAGAACCATGTCAAAGAGAGATGAGCCCTCCTACAGGATGAAAACTAACATTAAAAACAATATTATATATTCTGTGTGTATGTGTATGTATATGTTCAGATATACATACAGGCATATACAGCAATGAAAGCTGAAAGAAATGATGCTGCCACCACAGGACGCGTAGTCGTACGGGACTGTATGGAGCTTTGGTTTAACGTGCCGCCCGGCGAGAAGTTGCACCGGTTTTATTTTATTTTATTTTCTGTCCACTCCTCCTTTCACCTGTTCAGCTGGATGACGAGTGCTGTTTTTAGAGAAGAGCCAAGCCGGAGAGTGGGGCCACTCTTGGTTTTTGGGTTGGTGTTTTTTTTGTTCGTTTGGTTGGTTGTTTTTTTTGTTTTTCTTTCTTTGTTCTTGAGTGCAAGCCCTTTGTCTTTCTAGGATGGTGGTCCTGCCATTTAAAAAATACCTATTATATTATAAGAAGTGACTTTTTTTTTGAAGTGGCTTAAAATGCAGGTTGGTTTGGGGTTTTTGGGGGGGGGGGAATGGGGGTGGTTTTTTTGGTCTGATTTTACACAGACTGCCCCTTACCCTGCCCAAAACTCCCCTGTTGAGTGCATCTTGCCCTTTGTTAGCTTGGAATGGGAAGCAACTCCTGGCTTGACTCGCATAGCAACTAGGGTCTTGCTACGTGTTGAAAGTGGGCATGATCCTCCAGTTGTCCCATCTACCTGGTCACATGCAAGGGGATCCACAAGCCTTTCTGCTTATTGCTCCTACAACATATATACTCTTTTCTCTGCTCCCCCACCTCCTCTTTTCCCAGGCACACCTCTACAAATAGAGTCCAAAACCCATGTGCAAGAGCCACCACCATCTGCTTCCCATTGAACAGAGGCTCGGGGAGGGGGGAGAAGGGTACATTGAGTCAGTCACCGCCTGTGCTACAAAGATGGCTGTTGGCATAAAATTATATTGTTGGCTTATTTTAGTTGATCTGTTCTATAATAATAAAAACAAATCTATCGGCCATAAGCTTTGTTTTTGTGTTTGCAGCGTCAAAAGTCAGTGGAATCCACCCATACAGCTTCCCTTTCACCACTGAACGCGGTTGGCCCTGCTGTCAACCAGCTTTATAAATGATTGTTACTCTTCCACCCTATAATCTTACATTTGTAATCAGTTCCTTGCTCTTTCTGGTAGTGCTAGGAACCTCCTCCCTAGATAACCTGAAGATAAGCAGACCAACGATAAGCAGCACTTGGAAAGGAGCAAGTTTCCTGTTTGTACATACTTCAATTCTGCAAATGCAGTGGCCTTCGGGATATTTTGTGGCAAATACTGTATCATAGTATCTGTGGATACAGTATTGTATCTCAACAGTGATATTATTCTTTCCTTCACATTTCCACTGAATTCTTGCAGTCAGCATTTCCGGTTGGGGAAATGCCAAATTTTGCTTGCAATTGTGCTTCTGTCAAATCTGTGGCAGCTCTGAGAATTGTTTGTTACTGGTTTTGGTCATTATCCTGAGGTATATACATCATTAATAACTGACCTGGCATGAATCCTAGAAGGTTTTCGTAAATGAGGTCTGTAACTGTAGTAGAAGTCAGTAGAGAGAAGAAAAGGAGAGCAAGTGCAAAGAAAAAAGAGGAAAACCACAAGCAAGTGGGGAAAAAAAATATGAGCAAGAAAGGAGGTAGAAAAAGCACAAGCAAGAAAAAAGCTTGTGAAGTGTGCAAAAGCAACAACAGATAAAGGAAGAAAAATGTGCAAGTGAGAAAAAGAGCAAGAAGTCATGAAGTGAGGAAAATGAGCAAAAAGGCACGAGCACAGAAGTGAAGTGGACGAGTGACAGAAAATGGCCTCAACCTTTGTGGGCCCAGGCTTGTCCTGTGTTGTGTGTTTCCAGCTTGCGGTGCCTTGTGAACCTGCAGGTAAATGCTGGAGTCTCGCTGACCTGCTCATCTGGGTGCTGTTGGAGAGCACTCCTCCTTCCCCACCGCATCCTGCTACAGCCTCCATATCCAGACAAATGCTCCCACTCAGTCTCCATGCAAGCTGAGGTGAGCCTCGCCATTACAGTTCCCTGCACTGATGTCTGAAGGGAAAACCAGAGGTCAGCAGAAGGCACCGGAGCAATGCCATTGCAAGGCCCCTGGGCTACCTGCAGTGGCGTCCAAGGTAAGAAAGTAATAGCAAGGACACCACCCAAACCCAAGTATTTCTGGAAATTTTATTATCTAAAAATGCATTTGCAGTCTTAAGTCTAAAAGACCATTTAGAAATGATACACATTTGGGAAAGGTTTGACTTGAACAAGCGGTTCGTTTGACTCTCTCTGGAAAGACTGACTTAGGTACAACTCATAAGTTTCGGGTCACAACACAGTGGTGTCTGTATCAAATGCAAGAGTGACTATCCCTTAGCTTCCCATAGGAGAACCGACAAAACCTCGTAGCAAGTCTGGGAACTTCGGATGTGCTGCTGCAAAGCAGCAAACCATTAATTCAGCTACCAGGAGAACAGTGAAGTACCACATTACCTCTAGAAGAGCCTGCTGTTCACAGCAGCTGTCCCAAGTTTACTCTGCAGACATCTGATACTCCTGAAAGCATAGACGCTTCATCTAGCGCGGTCATTTTTTTATATTTTACAAGCAGTTAACAAGAACACAAATAACGAATCCTGTTTTAGTGTAGCCTATCTTGTTGGTTTTAGCAGTGGGAATAAGGAAAACACTGAAATGGTGCCAACACTAATGTTCTTGTCAGGAGTAAATGTTAGTGTAAAGCTCAGCCTCGAGGCATCCAAGCATATTTCAGAGGTTACCGAATCACACTGTAGTAACATCAGATACAGAAATGCCACTAAGCCTTCAAACTCTGCTTGGTTGATGCCACTGAAGCCTGTCAGTGACCTTCGATGCTTGCAGCATGTCACTGACTGTCCACACGGTGGACAGCACTGAGCCTGAATCCCCTTGTATCTAAAAGAAAGGCTCAGGGCTTCTAACTCTGAGGAGATTGTTATATTGCTGCTTTAAATGTGTTTTGTAAATTGTTTAAAGCACTGTCAGAACAACAGAGGCACCTTAATTATGCTACATTCAACTGTGCCCCCCTTCTCCCCATCCCTCTTGCCCTAAAGATCATGACCTACCATACCATTATTTTTGCTAAGTAAAACAAAACAAAACAATTCCCATAAAACACCCCAGAAAAATAACCAAAATAACCAAACACTGCTAGAAGACACCTTGTGAACTACCTACACCCCCTGCCGCTGGCATACATGCCTTGTGCAGGCCTTGCCTTGTCAAACTCTCAGCTTTACATCTGCCATTGCAGAATCTCTAACCAACTTTCAGGCCTAAAACCATAGCAATCTGTCACGGGGCTAAAGTCTTTCCCTTAAAACCAACAACAGTTACACATATGTTTTGCAGGCTTCTGTTCCTGACATTTGGTGCTCTGGACACGAGTGATGTGCCAAAGAGCTGAGGCTGCATAGATTTATAGCAATAAGGTGAAATGTTACAGCAAGCTGAAACTTTTTTCCCCCGTTTTGTCATTATTGGCAAGTCTTTGAGGCTGCAGTGTCCTTAGGAAACCCAAGCATATGCACCTCTAAATAAGAACAGGAAGAAAATAATTTCTTCATACGTGCCATCTGGAATAAATACCAGCAGCAAATAAGCAAGCAGCAAGGTCAGCAGCCTGTGTCCGTGGGCTGCCTCTGGCCGTTCACGGGAACGGGACGCAGGAACAGTGCCACCAAGTCTTGCACAGAGAAACAGCCACCTTTGACCTCACGGCAACGAAGCTTCACCCCAACCCTAAGAAAGGTCCTGGAGTGGAAACCTGAAAATTGAGTCAGACATCTTCTACTTCAGCCCAGCAAAGTCAGAGGTACGCCCTTCTTTCTTGCCTGAGAACTGCAGCAAGGTATCAAGTTTGACATTCCCTAGAGCACACTCATTTGGTATGAGTAACATCCTTTTAGCAAAGAATTGTACGGAAATCGACATTGCTCCTTATGGAACACTTTTCTGACGAGAAGATCTGAAGAAGGAGAAAGATGTCGCTGGCTCCAAGGTACCACCAGTTCTGGCCAAACGTGCATGCTGCGGTGCTCCTGCATGGGATCAGGGGCTAAAGGTGGATGCTATCAGGTAACAGTTAGCTCCTGGGCATTAGCAGAAGACTAAAAGTCACAGAAACAACCAATCCCATAAAAGAACAAGCCAACTTCACGAGTGCTTACTGAGTATGCTGATCTCATACAAAGCCATGCTTCATCAAACAAGCCCTTGCTCACATCTGTCGCGGAATTTGTCCCAGATAATGCTTAGCTCTCCATTTCAGCTGTTAACAGAAAGACTTGAATCCAGAAATACTCTTCCAGTATCTAAACTGAGGACAGAAGAGTAAGTTGTTGTTTTATTCTGTTCAAACCTGCTAAACAAACAAAGCCAATGTTCATGTCTGTAGCGCAAACGACGGCACCAGACAGTTCAAATCTAGTTGTAATGCCCATGTGCTGGCAGTAGTTACACCACAGAGCTCAGCAGAGCTAGGTTATCCATGCTGCTGTGGCAATACAAGTGCCTGAACACAAGCTCAGTACTGAAGGATTTAAAGACTGAACTGGTATCTTTACATGATACAGCTGTATGCAATGCAGACAAATCCCAATATTCCCAACGGAACTGATGATATAAAGTGAGAAAAACACCAAACAGCTGGCAAAACCCCCTCAGTGTGCTAACGGGGCCTCCATTCTTTTCATGGACACAAGAACCGTTCTGGTTGTGACAGCTGACAGGAACAATAAGACTTTTCAAAGCTAGGTTAGCATGTGACTCAGAAAACAGAAATTGTTGTGGCCAAGCAATCAGATAAAAGAACATTCAGAGAGCTTTGTCTAGCCAAAAAAAAAAAAAAAAGGACACGCTACCTTCTCTGTGTGTCGTCATCTACTTACTCTTTTCATTGTATCTAAAAAAGAGGCATTAAAATACTCTGACACTTTCCCATACACCAGCGCAGATAGTTAACATTCTCTCACAAAGCGGTGCAACGTCCCTTACGTAAAACTTCTCCTTTTAATAGTCTCTGGGATAATTCAAAAGAAAGGGTACAAAGAACCTGGGCTAGACAGCCTTTCCGCTCAGTGGAGAGCAACCTTCTGCAGCATCAGCTCGGATACAGAAAGGTCAAATGCCATCTCACAAAGGACTTCAGGTTCTGTGAAACCACTGCTTCACCTGACATCAGGAAGGCTTAGAAGACACTTGCCCGAAGCAAGTGCTGGCCTCAAGGACTGCAAAAGGAAACATAAAAAAATAAAACAAACTGGCCTTTGGCACCAGTCACTAATTTAACTACCACACTGAACCAATAAAATGGTCTGGGGTTCCCCCAGAAGGGCTTTAATGCAGGCGTACAAGGAGTTGAAGGTGAGTCCTCAGACTGATAAAGAAAAGAAAGGTGGTACAGCTCTCCAGCACCGCATACTCATTGGGTCCCGTTAGGCCACACAGCAGCCACAAAGTCCTATTCTCCTTCTTTCTGTATGGACTGAATTCCTTCAGGAAAAACTTATACTGGAAAGCTCTGTTCCCCACCCCCCCCCCCCCACCCCCCCCGACTGCACTTAACCAAGTATCAGACACAAAAACCTGACTTCCACAGGATTCATTGCCAAAATCGTCTCAAGGAATAGTCTTTCTGTTCCTAAGCCTCAAAGCTTATGGAGTAGTTTGGGAGTAGTTATGGAGTAGTAGTCTCTCATACAAAGTCTGGTGGACAAGGAAATGGCTATTAATACAGAAATTCACCCCAATTCTCTGTCTTGGCCAGCCTGGGTTTTTTGTAAAGTCTTCCGTAACAAATTTGGGGACACTGGTATTGCAGACAGCCAGAACAATTGTATCTGCCTATTAAAAGAATTTACTTTTATGAATGAGAACCCTGTGCTTGGCACCACCTAAAAAGGATGATCCAGAGCAGAACTAGAAACTGATATTG